CCTGGCAAAAATGGAAGTGACGACGAGTTCACTGCAGAAGCAGTCAAGAAAGTGCTGGTATTCTTGCATGGAACACACTCATGAATCATCTGAGGTGTGACGTCAACCACACCAATTGTAACCTGAATCGTTTCAGCAGTAAAGTATAAATTCGTTATTAGCCGTGGATGAAAGGGCGCGTCGTCGGGCAAGAAGAGTTTGGCGTGGTGCCTGACCTGTTCTCCACCAGTTGTTCGAGCGAACAGGCGACAGCAATTCGTGGGGTCGGGTTTTTGCTACAACAGTTTGGTGGAAAACGTATCAGGCGACACGCGTTTGGCCCCGAACCAAACCCATGCCGCCTGACACGCCCTTTCATCCGCAGTAAACAAGACTGTAAGTATAATACATAAGAAATTGGGAAAGAGACTCGAAACTATGTCATACCTTGTGCTCGGCACCATCCGATGGAATAGCTGCCGGTTTGGTAATGATGAACTCGGTGCTTAATGCGTGCTGAGCGGGTTCCGCTACACGAGCCATCTGAAGCAACCCCAATGATAAGCAGCTACAGGAAAAGGAGAAAATACGGAAACTGTGCAGCATTCACCTCCATATGCATTGGAGCTGCATCAAAAACACATTCTTGTTCTTGCATTGAAGCGAAACCCCCCCTCCCCCGACGGCTGTTTTCAGCCTACAAATAAACGAGTGTTTCATCTCATATTAATTCCTTCATCTTGTAATGAAACCCACATTGCGTTTCTTGCCATATAAGGCTGTGCAACAGGTGGAGGACGATAGAAGACAGCTTCCAGAACGCCGAGCTCCGGGATTTGTCCACCAAGATGACAAGGTGACGTAGAAAGCACACTGAAATCGTCTCCATTATATTGAAGTAGAACAGCCGATGCAGGACTTCCGTGAAATCATTCAAACTCAGGCGATGCATCCGTTTATCTCAACAACAGTTTCGTAGCCAAGGTGCCAATATTTTTCTCATATAAGTTAGGCAAATAGAAATCTCAACCCCCAGAAATATATTCTGCGTTTTATGTTGCAGACGAGCATGAAGAACGTGTCACCTGGAGAGAGGTTCTCCTGCTCCCTTGGTGTAGATACGGCCGTACGTGTTGAGTACAAGCCAGTCAAAAAGTACCATGAGCAAGTTCGTTGGTTTCCTTTTCGGCTTTTCAAAGGAGTTGCGTCATTTTGACTAGCTTCAGGTTGGACTCATCAATAAGAGCTCCTCCAATGTACACGAACAAGTGATAGTTGTTAAGAATTCACGTGCACAACCTGTGCTACTAACAATTAAAGAAGCAAATTCCGCGAAGTACTGATGAGAAAATAAAGGTAAGTTTGTTGCTTTGAGGTGCCAGTAGGATTTCGGCTACCTTCGGTCACCATCCTTGATTGATATTGTTTAGGTGAGGCTCATTGCTCCGGTTGTATCACAGACAGAAGAGGCGAACAGCGGAGAAGGTATAAGCGTTGTTTTTTTTGTGGATAAATCGGAGCAGTTCGGCTTGATGGGGCACCAAATGCCAAGATCAGCAAGCGAAGCTTAGTCAGGCCACCTAGTGAAAACTGGTGAATTCCTCAACCTAAGTGACTCACCTGCACCATTTAGCAGCTTCGAACGATTTACGGGCTTACCAACGTTAGGCCTATTAGTAAACATGATTTAGCAGAGAAACTAGTAAGTGCAAAATGCCTTTCTCTCCAAGTCAAACAGCGCCGATCTTTTCCTTTTTGCTTTCTTTACAGAATCATTGTAATGTGTTCGCTTTTATTTTAGCCGATCTGACTACAGCGGCAGAAATGCCGAAAGAGGGATGCCGAATGAAAGGTGGTATTCTTGAGTGGACTATAGCGGTACAAGATGGAAAGACTGCTGAGCTACACGTGAAGTGGGCTGTTGATCATCCGAAAGATGAAGTGGTCGAGTTTGTAGAACGCCACTGACACTCACTTATTATATAGAGCGTGTACTTGCACAACAATCTAGAGTACTACACTTGTCTCAAAGTTTACTTTTAAACATTAATCTCATAACCTCGAAATCAATATTTGTGGAAATCTAACAGCCTGGGCTGGAATTGATGCCTTCTCAAACTCGGTGATATTTCCTGTGTTAAGAAGCCTTTTTTGGTTGTTTCACTGGACTCAATATATTACAAATTCCTCTTAAGTTTGGTTGTATTATCGGATTTGTCAAATTGTCAAATTTCATGTTCAGAGAGTGAAACGGTGTACCATCCATATGCGTATTTTTGCACCAGTATTTTAATTTCTTTTGCATTTCATTATGTTTTCGAATAAAAACCTTTAAGCCAACAACTGAATGGTAGCAGACAAAAGCATTTCCAGGCCTGAGTTTAACTGAGGTATCGTTGGACGAGGCGGGGCCAGAAGTCAAGTCCTAGAACAAGTCTCGTCACGAGTAACCAAATCGTCCGTATCTCCCAATCTCGATTATCTTGAGATATTCTTGTCTGTGACGACAAAAATTCACATGTACAGGCTACTGAAGAGGGTAAGTGACAACAACTGATGGAAAGCGATGACAGGAACGATATACACTCCATATCCCGGAGGTGGAGTGGGCGTGGCTGCATGCTTTGTTTAAACATGTCGGCTGCTGCCTTTCTTGTAGAATATTGCCGTTTTGCAACACTGTTCTTGTCCACTACACGACGAAACCCCAAATAAAACATATGTACGACACGTTCACATGAAGTACGAGCCGCTACCCTTCCATCCTCAGGATATATAATGTAATCGGTTGGTCCTGCAAGTCATTAGTCACCAAGTGAGCCGTTACCTGGTTTAGAGTGCATGGCGCAATCCAGAGGTCGTGTGATCTACGGTACTTT